CCCCCCCGCCCCAGCCCCGTGAGGAACAGCAAAGCAGCGCGAAGCAGGCTTCTCAGGGCCCAGGGGCTGGTTAGGGCCACTCTCCCCGGCCATGTGGCTCAACATCCCCCTGACCCTCGAGGACCACCCTCCTTTGCCCGGCTCCCTCTCTCGCCAGCCCCTCCCCAGGCCCTGCAGAGGGTAGGGCCCAGGAGGGTGGGCCCACAGGTCTACGGAGAGGCCTGGACAGCCTGAGTGAGCGGGGGTGCGCCCAGGTCCCAGGGCCACGGAAGGTCGCCCGGGACCTTCGAAAGCATTTTGGGAGGAGCTGAGAAAGCAGCTCTAGGTGAGAGGATGGGAAGCGCTGCCAGAGTATGCGCGGCTGGAAGAGCCCTTAGCTGTCAAAGCTCCCCGAGCCCTGCGGCTGGCGGGTCAGGGAAGGGATGTCCCTCCGGCCTGCAGAGCCGGGTCTCGCTGGCCCCGAGCTGAAGTTTCACCAGCCACCCAGCATCTCTGTGGCCAGGTGACAGCCAGGGGTCACCTGCAGCCCTGGCCTGTGTCGCCCTGAGCTGGGACTGGCCCTGGGTCTGGGCGGAGACAGGGGCCAGGACAACGGCAGGTGGCACGTCCGCACAGCCCGAAGTTCCCGTGTGGGCCGCGGGCCCATGTGGATGGGCGGGAGCCGTGGCCCAGCCCTGCACAGACGCAGCTGAGAGGTGGCTCTGGTGGCGGGGGGCAAGGTTCATGCGTGATCTCAAAGGCCCCGTTAGACCCTAGACAGCGGGAACCCCGACGCCCTCTCAGGGGATTCTTGGGCGCTGGGGGTGGGCCTGGCTTTCAGACACCTGGAGCCACCGGTGCTCTGCGGGGCAGGTGGGAGACGAAGGCGCGGCTCGCGCTCCGGCGGGACTCTGCTGGGCCTCTGCCTCCTCGCAGGCCCTGGCGCTGCTGTGATCGCGCAGGAGCTGGGGGCGAGAGATGGCACCGGCATCCCCGAGGTCCCTGAAATGCATGGCTTTTGGGGCCGCCGTTCCCTGCTGACCTCAGGGCCTCAAACAAAACTAAAAGCCAGGGTGGCTGGCACAGCCCCTCGCCCGGCCCCCAGCACAGTCATGGCCGCGGTTCCTCACCGACCCTTCCTGTCCCGCCCCGGGGGCTCTCGGCCGAGGGAGTTCAATACCGTCTGGTTTGAGTTTTGGCAAAGTCAGTCCTTGGCCCCGGTCCCTGGGGCCGGGCAGTTACCGCCACCGGGGCCTGGCTGCTGAGAGCACCAGCGGGAGGCCGGAGAGCAGCAGGAGATGCGTGCAGGGCTGCGGGCGGCCCGTGGCTGACGCCTTCTGACCCTCTCGCTCGGAGAGGCCGGGCAGGGCGTGGCTCAGGGGCGTCCGGGAGCTGGAGCTCTTCCTGCCGACGCTCCGGCCGCACTCGTCGTCGTCGGGGCAGCCCTCGCCGCTGCCTGAGCCGCTGCTGTCATCACCTGGGGAGGAGAGGTGGCTCCAGCGGCCCCGCCCAGCCCTGGGGACCCCGAGGGCCGCGGGCCTCGCCTGGGCCTCGCGGGCCCGTGACGCCAGCTCCACCCTGACCGCGGCACCCCGACCCCCTGGGCCTGCCGAGGCTGGGAGGACGTCCGGGCTGGGTCACGACTGTGCCTGGGGACGAGGGGCAGGGGAACTTTGTGACCACACCGGGCAGTGGCAGCGTCCTCAGAGCCACTGTGGAGGCCCGGGGGCTGGGAGGGCCCCGTCCGCAGCACCCTTCCCCGGCCAGGGGTGCTCCCTGGCGTTCCGGCACCAACCCTCGGCTCTCAGCCCCCAGGCGCACCCTGGGCCCCGCTCTCACTGGCGTCCTGGAAGTCCACGTCGTTGCCGTTGTAGGCGCCGCGCAGACGGTTGGTCGTGATCTTCAGCTGCATGATCTGCTGGCGGATGGTCATGTCGGGCTTGGTGATGTCCACCTCCACCTCGGGGTTGTTGATCTGGTTGGCCAGGCCATCGCCCATCACCTCGGGGAGGTACCTGGAGGCCGGGAAGGCAGGCCCTGGGCCACTGCCCTGCTCCCCGCACAGGGGCACTGCCCCAGCATGCCTGCCCACTCCCCTCCCCCCGTCAGGGCGGTGGCAAGCCTGAGACCCCCCCCCAGAGGCTTCAGGGGCCGACGGGAGCCCGTGCCGACCCCACCGCAGTGGGGTGAGGATGCGCTGAGCACGGCGCCTGCTGTGGGGAGCTGGCACAGGGCGAGGATTCAGCCCTCATCCCAGCTCTGGGTCCCGTTGGGTGTCCCGCGTCAGGTATGGCCCTATGCACACAACATCTGGTGCCCCAGACCGGCGAGGGGCCGTGGAGGAGGGACGGACTGTGTCAGCCAGGGGGGCACCTACCGACCCTTGGCCACCCCGTTCCAGCAGTGGTCATCGCTGGCCGCACTCATGGCCAATTTCTCACTGCACAGCGTCCCCGGGAGGCTGACCCAGAAGTCCTGGGCATCTCGGAGCTGGGCCTTGGCCTCGGAGACCTGCAGGGCAGCAGTCAGGCCACCGGGCACCGCGGCCCAGCCTGCCCTGGACCCCCAACCGCACCCACCCGGGGCCTGCCCGGCTGAGGGGCCACTGACCAGCTTCTGAAGCGTGCCCGCGGGTGGCTTTTCTGGCAGCGCCAGCTTGCCCCGGCGTCGCTTCTCCTCAGGCTCGGGGCCCTGGGGGTTCACCTTGGGGTTCCCGCAGCCCTGGATGACCTGGGGGGAGAACGCAACTGTCCTGGAACGGTACGAGGCCGTATCCGGGGCACCCCCCCCCCCCCTTGCCCACTGCACGCCCCTGCCCGCACCTTGGCCATGAGGGTGTCGCTGTTGTCCTGTAGGGCGCTGATGGCCTCTGCAAGCCACAAGTGCACGCCGCCGATGACGCTCTCTGCGCCCGTCGGACCCCAGAACTTGTCTGTGATGAGCACCATGGAGTCTGGCACAGGCGTGAGCACACACACAGGGGGCACTTTGTACGTACGTGCACTGGCTCACCACGTGCTACCACGCACACGGCAGCTTGTACGAGACGATATATCTATATGTTGGCTCACTTCAGGCCAGCCCGTGTACACGTTAGCGCCTGCGTGTGTCGGCACACGTGCAGGTTGAACACGTGTAAGCTTACGCCTGTCGGCACACGTACACCTGGCCCACCACATGCCTATGTTACCTCACACGTTTTCACGTTGGCTCGAGGCATGCCAGCACACGTCCATGGTAGCACGTGTCTCAGCATGAATGTGTGCTGGCCCACGTGTCAGCACGCGTTAGAACTTACATATCTCCGTATACAGGCACGCTGAGCCCTCCCGTCAGCCCACGTGTGTCGATGTGGATGCACGCGGGCTCACCTCACAGCAGCAGGTATACACACTGTGGTACATCTGTGTTGGCACAGCTGCTTGGTGACCCACGTCAGTCAGCACACCTCAGAGCTGGCCCACCCCAGGGCAGCAACGCACACGACAACACGCACGTGTTGGCACGTACGCGCTCGGTGGGGAAGGGCAGGACTGTGACCCTGCAGGGCTCCCTCCCGGGCAGCTGCCCACGTTGCAGTCTGTTCGGGACGTTCAGGGGGCATCTTGTTCCTCGCCCCAGGGACCGCCTGCTCCAGAGGACAGGCCCGGTTTTGCACGCCCCCCAACCCCCCTTCCCGCAGGCGGTGACAGCAGTGGGAGCTCACCCAGAAGGTTCCTCCACTCGGCGTCCAGGTCGGCCTGGTTGGCCAGGCAGCCCTTGAGCACGTTGCGGCAGTAGTCGGGGCAGGGCCGGGCGCCGGGCACCCCCAGGCAGTGGGCGCAGTACACCAGCTTCATGACGGCCCGTGAGCACTCCGGGCTCAGGGGCACCTGGGGAAGCAAGGCAGCCTGAGCGCCACCCCGCAGCAGGTGTGCAGCCCCACAAGGCGCGCCCGGGTCCTTCTCAGATGACCAAGCAGGCCTGCTGGCCGTGGTGGGGCTCCGTCTAATAAGCGATACATTCACAGTGCGGAGACTCCCCGGGGCACCGTGGCCACGAACCCTCCCAGGGAAGCGGGAATACCGCCCACCACGCAGCTGAATGGATGGAGGCTGGGGCTGAGGGTGACTCGTTAGGGACCCCAGTTGGGGTGCAGGTGGCTCACGATGCCCTCCCACACCCGACGCTGGTGGGTCTGACGCCAGCGAGCTGCCCGACGGGGCCAGGCATTCCCCCGCCCAGCCTCGGCGCACGCATCTCCCTCATCTCCCGTCTCGCGTCTCCCGTCCACCTGACCCCTGGAGCTGGCTCAGCATCCAGCCGCAGCCCTCCTCCCTTCCCTTCCTGCGCGGGACCGGCCTGGCCATCGCTGCCCGGAGCAGAGCTCGCACGCTGGATCCTCCCACCCGCCCGGGTTGGGGGTGGAAGGAGGCCCCGGGAGTCCCAGGGCCCCGGGGTGGGGGCGCGGGGACGTGCGGCAGGGGGCGGGGCCTCCGCGCGCACCTGGGCCACCTTCCGGACCACGTCGCTGGCCACGCCCAGGCCCTGCACGAAGGCGCGCGCCGCCACGAAGGCGCGGGTGGCGCGCAGGCGCAGCTCACGGGGGGCCTCCCCGAAGGGCCGCAGCGGCTCGGCCCGCTTGCCCAGGCAGTCCAGGTAGTCGTCGGGCAGCAGGAGCTGCGGGTGCAGCTGCCGGAAGAGGCGCTCGAGCAGGCGGGCCCAGAACTCGGCCAGCGTCTCCTCCAGGTGCAGGTTGGCCCCGCGGTAGTAGAGGCGCAGCTCGGCATACAGGTCGCGGAAGGCGTTGGCGTTCTGCACGTACAGCTCCCCGAAGGCGCCCGGGAAGGCCTCCTGCAGCGCCCGCTCCGAGTCGGTCAGCAGGCGCCGGAAGTGATCTGCGCACGGGAGGCGGGCGTCAGGCCTTCCCGGAGCCCCCTGCCCACCCCACGTGCTGTGGCAGCGCGACCGGCATTAAGGGGGCTCTGCCGGGGACCCCCGGTGCTCTGAGAGTCATCCGAGCCTGCACGGGCCCTGGGTGCCCGCCCCCACGGGGCTCTGAGACCTCCCCCTCCTGGCCCGGGGCCTGGGCATCCAGAATCCATTTCTGAGCTGGGCCTTGAGCAGGGGACACACGGCGCCTCAGTGCCCCACGAGGTCACCTGGCCAGGGTCTGTGTGGAGGGGCAGGAGGGCGCTCTGAGTCGGGGTGGGGCCCACTGCGGGGAGAAGGCCCAGGGCGTCCCTCGCCTGCCTTCCCTCCCTCCCGGCAGCTCCCCTTGCGTCCCTCCCCCTCCCCCCTCTCTGTCGCCCAGCCAGGCCCCCCGCCCTGGGGGTGTGCCTCTGCACTCTCCACCCTGCCCACCCCTGAGGCTCTCCTGGGCTTCCTGCCCTCCCCCTCCGTCCTCATCTCTCTTGGACGCCCTCCCTCTGGTTTTGGGAGCTGGCCAGCCTGAGGGTCTGGAGAGGGACCCCGATGCACCCAGAGTCTCGGACGGGGGTGCCGAGGCGGGGCAGGAGCGTGGGCCGCAGACCCCTGTGGTTTCGGGGAAATACCTCTGTGCCCCGTGTGCTGAGAACGAGGCCCCTAACGCCGTCCACCCCTTTCAGCAGGGAGACGGCAGGGTCCATAAGCACACAGACCGTCCACTCAGACGCTTCCTCGAGAGCTGTGGCCAGCCCTCCCCACACAGGCCCAAACTCGGGTGTCCAGGGACACCGGGCCAGGTTGGCTGTGCTCTGAGGCGTGGTGGACATTAGGCCTCTGGCCCTCGGACCCATGTCTACACTCACCCCACCAAGACCCTCCCGCAGCTCCGGCTGTGCCCCTGCAGCTCCCCGGGCGGGAACTGTGGGATGGAGCGGACGGTCCAAGCTCCCATCCAGCTCCCGCCGCGGGACTCCGGGTCCTGGTCCCCACGCCAGCCTCCGGCCCAAACGGGCAGTCTGTAGCTCATCGCTAGCCCGGCAGCACATGGGGTGGTCGTGGGGCCCCCAACCCCACGGCCAGCCTCCAGCCCCATCTTTTGAGCAGGGTCCCGCTCTGAGCCAGGCCCCTGGCAGCCGGCCCAGAAGGTGTGGCGCGTGAGCGTGGGCCCCGCGTCCTGGAACACAGCCACCCGAGGCCCTGCTACACGCAGGTCCCAGGCGCACTTCACATGAAGGCTCTGAGACCCCTGCCGCTGGTGGCCAGGTAAGGACTGCTCCCGGGGCACAAGGCACGGGGGCGGCTGGAGCAGGCACGACAGTGGGGCTGAGGCGCGGGGGGGGGAAGCGGCATGCAGAGGGGCAGGTGGAAAGGACTCTCGGGGTGGGGGGCACAAGTGGGCCTGGAAGCGGAAGAGGAATCGCTTTTAACACAGATTAGTGTCCTGAATGGATGCTGTGCAGGCTCTGACACCAGCTGTCACTTCTGAGGCCCCTCCCACCGGCGCCCGCCATCCCCTCCGAGGTGCCCGCGGTCAGCATCACAACATCATCCCACCATCCCTTGTTTAGGGGCCCAGACACGATGAGAGAGCTGGTGAGGGGCTGGGAATAGATGACTGACACACACAGCTGACTTGGAGGCTCGAGGGCCACGGCAGGGGCCCCGAACTCCTCGTGCCTCCACCCAGCACCCTGCAGCCCCGGCCTGGCCCCCGATATCAGTCCTCACGCTGAGCTCCCCAGCTCCAGACCACCTGGTGGCCAGTGCCAGCCTGTCCCTGGCAGGTGCCTAGGAGAGCTCTGGAGGGCAGAGGGTCCCCTCTGAGGGCCCGATGGAAGGGCCAGGCTGGCTCTCCCCAGACGTGCATATGCCTCGGGGTGGAGAGAGCCCCGCAGGTGACCCCGAGTTCACGGACCCCCCGCTCAGGCCCCTGCGCGCGGCCAGTGCCCTGCTCCTACATCCCCTCTGGCGCTGCCTCACTGCGAGAGGCCCCCAAGTGCCCAGCCCCCGCCGTGATGTCCTGCGGCCCCGGAGCCCCTCACCGTCAAAGCCTCGCAGCTGGGTGGCCAGCGCGGCCCGCAGGGCCCGGCCGCGGCCCTGGAGCGCCGCCTCCAGCTCGGCCCGGCTGCCGTTGGCCAGGCTCTCTTCCATCCGGCTGGTGCAGCAGGTGCGGCCCTGGGCGCAGATCCGCAGGTGCTCACCTGTGGGGGGGCTGGCGTGAGGGAGGGGACCGCGGGAGGCTGGGGCGCGGGGCACCGGGAGGACGGGCCTCGCGGCCGGTGGGCTCTCCTGCACAGGCGGCGTGGGCGGCACGCCGGTGGGGCTGCCTGTCAGGGTGGGGGTAAGGCAGGCCCGGCTCAGCGCAGCGCCTAGGGTGGGCCGCGCAGCCCCCAGCACAGGGCACAGGAGCGGGGCTTCCTCTGCAGAATCCCACTTCCAGGCCCCCTGGGGCAAGCCCCGGTGGGGATGGGGGTAGAGCAGGAGTGTGGACGGCTGAGCCCCAGGGCAGGGCTGTGGGGTGCTGTCCCCACTCAGCTCCTTCCAGCCCTCCACGCCCCCTGCGTGCGAGGAGGGCCGCCCCAGGGGCCCTGAGCCGCTCAGCTCACGCCTGGACCTCAGCACAGAGAGGCCTCAGGCCCTGCGTAGGGGGCACGGGGGGCTGCCAGACTCAAGGCTCACGGCGGAAGTGTCCAGGCCTGCCTGGCGCCCCTGCCCGGGCCCAGGCTGAGGGCAGTGAGAGGGGATCCCCGAGGGGCGGGGCAGGACGGCCCCCAGCCTCCCCGACACCAGTGCGGGGTGCCAGCTCCCACTGAGGACAGCAGGCCCTGCAGGCCACCCACCCACAGCTCCGGGCCGGCCAGAGGCAGTGGCCCCCCAGGCCGAGGCCTACCCTGTCAGGACAGCCCGGGCACAAGTCTGCTGGGGCCCTGCTGCGAGACCCGCATCCACCTGGCAAGACACACGGAGCCCGCTCAAGTGTGTGCACCCTTCTCTGTTCCCTCAAAGCCCCCATCTCCCCCGTGCCACCGCCCGGGCGCGGGCTCCCGGCGGCACTGCTTACAGCAGCGCTAGGACATGACTGAGGTTGCTTCCACCACTCTCGTGGTGCAGGGCGCACCTTTGAAACTGTGCTGGCCCCAGTTCTGGGGTGGGTGCTGTGAACCCACTCTACAGACCAGGAACCTGAGGCTGGCAGAGATGAGGGTTCCCGTCCCAAGTCACACAGTCAGGGGCCAAGTGGCTCAGGCTGCCTCACAGCCCCCCAGGCCCACTCCCCACAGGCCGCAATTCCTGCCTCTAAGCGGGGCAGGGCACGGAGGGAAGTGGACGCAGGGGTCTGGCCCGGACAGGGGCTGTGTGGGGCTGGAGTCGAGGGCTCACCCGGTGCGGCCGGCACAGTTGCAGGGGGTCGTGGAGCAGCCTAGGCAGAGCTCTCTGGGTCCCGAGGCTGCCCTGAGGGGTTGGGGGCTGCAGGGTGGGCAGCGGCCTCCAGCGGAGGCCTTGCCCGGGCAAGAGGGGTGGGTAAGACCAAGTCATTCTCCGCAGGCTGAATTAACCCTGAAGGGGGTGGCTAGGTCACACTTAAGTCTGAGCGTCTTCCTCTCCTGCACACGCCCCAGGGAAGCAGGGACAGGTGCAGAGAACAGAGTCGCCCTGTGGCCCATCTGCAGCTCTGTGCCCATCAGTGTAACAGCCAGGAGAGGGCAGCGGTGTCCCAGTCGCGGTGGGAGGGGGCAGAAGGGCGCTGCACACTCGGGTGGCACTCGAGGGAGGTCAAAGAGGCTCGGTGGGGAGGAAGGAGGGCGGGG